TAAATTATGCCATTAAACTGAACGAAGATACATGTATCTTATTTGTCTTTTTCTTTAACATTGTTTTCTGACCAAAATAATTTCTTTCCCTGTCAATTTCCTCACTTTAGTTTCTTCTACTTTTGTTATTTTATTTAAAAATAAATAAATTAGAAAAAAAATCAAATTGATATACAAACAAATTGAAAAACATAGAGACTGAATAAATAATTTCTAAAACTACAACAACTAGTTATTAGTTTCAAGAAACTAAACATACAAAATATAATCAACTCCTCAGTTCATAAACCTTTTGTTCATCTTTTGGCCCTTTTCTTTTTCAAGAACACATAATGGCCGTTGACAAGGTCACAAACCTCGTTGATGATACGTACGATGGTTCTTCTCTTGGTTGGTACAATGGATGAGTTTGACGGTAGATTGTTAGCAAGTTAACTATGATGCCTGTAAAATAAATCCTCCTCGATAGGTAGAAGGACCCTTTGATTTTTAAGTTAGCACTCAGAGGGAGACAATAGGCTCTGTAGGCTTGGACAAGTATTCAGAGATCCAGAGGATGATAAAAGTAGTTGTGAGTTTAGAGATTGAGAACTTAGAAACTTAAGCACTCATGTTATTTATAGGTTTAATGACAAATTTTGTCTCCGTTCTGTTATAATTTATAATTTCGAATTCATAGTACAAAATTACGTAATTTGAACCTTAAAATATTAGATATTGGACAAATATGATCTAAATTGCTCAATCTTTATTATATGTAACGATTAACTAAGTTGATCATCACTTGAAATGCAAAAATAATGTTGTTTTGACATTCCGTTATTATTATATTTTAAAAAATATATATTTAAAAAAAAATTTTAACCCCCTAATCTTAAACTTAGAAAAAAAAATTATTATATAAAAATATTTTATCAATATTTTTAACCCACTAATTTTTAAATTTTTTTTAAATTTTTTTTAAATGTTATTGTAAATAAAACATAATTAACAATATACAATTTCAAACCTTGAAAACATTTTATAAATTAAAATAGGCATAACCCCCCTATTTTATAAATTATATAAAACAATTTCAAATTCAAAGGGTTAAAAATATTCATAAGCAAAAAAGTTCAAGATTGAAGGTTAAATTTTTTTTTTTTAAATAACTAACAACGAAAGCGAAATGAAAAGCGACGTCGTTTTGGTATTCAAAGTAACAATGAACTAGGTTGATTGTTATACATAACAAAAATTTAGTAATTTGGATCACATTTGTCTAATTTTTAATATTTTAGAATTCAAATTACACGATTTGGTACTATAAATCCAAAATTATCAAGCAATAGAATGAAGATAAAATTTATCATTAAACCATTGTTTATATGACTAAAAGTTTTGTCAAGTTGCATAGTTGCATAGAGAGAGGAGTAGAATTGCTTATTCTCGTGATGTCATGAGTCTCTATTATTTGTTTGAGAGACAAACGTATTTGATGTTGGCATAACTCATATGGAAAGAGTGTGGTAACGTCGTAATTATCATTGATTAGATAGAATTAATATTGAAGTATTTATGAAAATAAATAAATAAATTTGTAGATTGTAGAAGCACATGGATGTTTTATCAGTCAATTCATCCATTCTCAGGTGTATTCATAATAATAATAAATTTCACATTCGTTTTTTGAATTCGATATTTTCTTCTCAAAATATTTTTTAGATTTTGAAATCTGGATTAAAAGACAAATCTGTAATTACCAATTTCTATTACAAGTGCCCAAAAATATCAATTTTCATTATTGCTATGTTTTAATGCTCCAAACAGTAATTAAGATTGTCATGAATGTATTTTCCTACCCTTCCTACTGCGGATTTTAGATTTGAAGATGCATGGTCATCCCATTTCTCACATGGCAGTTGAGTTCTTTTTCCTTTTTCCTTGAACTTTTGATAAAAGCCTTGATCCGGGCCGTCTGTCAAACTCATTAAAGTGGTATAACTTTGTAACGTAATTAAAAGCTCCCGCAATTATATTGCTTAACACCAACCCAGCCTGGTGATTTGAGTTCGACAATTGTCCTTGTAGGCCTATGCAGTTATGGATACATGGTAGCCAAGAATGCATTTAAATCACTATACACCAAAGAGTAAAAGCTAAATAATAATAATAATAAATAAATAAATAAATTATAAATGACAATTTAAAAATATTTTAAAAAACCCAAAAGAATCGATTCGAACGAAAAAGATCTTAGTCGTTTTAAAAAATAGTTTTTTGTTTGAATCTTTATATATACGGAAAATTTTTTAAATAATTATATCCATCTTATATATCCGATAAAATAACGAGGGATTATTATGTGTTTTTGGGTTTGGAATATCTCGAGGATCCAACATAAAAATAATAAAAATCAAGATAATAATAATAATCAATCAAAGCCAAGGGAATAACTTATGATTTTGAAAACCAAAAAGATTAACTTACAAAATTATAAAAAATACAGGGACTAAGTAGAAACATGAAACATATCCATTAAAGCTCCACGGACACATGGAAGGCTTTGATTTTGAAATTATATTGTCAAGGTTAGCAGCGACACATTCCAACAATGACTATGCTTCATGAAATATTACATTGTTGGTGGGGGGTAGGTCCACTATTGGTAATAAGTATATAATATAAAGTATTCGACATGTCATTATAGCAATAGCATTTATCAATAATTTCTGTTGCACAATATTGCAATCTTTTTTAAAAAATAAAATTGAAAAGTGTGTAGACATTTTCAAAAACCTAATTTAAAATAAGCATGTCATTGATTCAGAAACAAACGAATCTGTCTTTTCGTAAATTTTTTATCAATGTGTTGTTAATTCAGCAATAAATAAATTTGTTTTTAAGTAAATTTTTTATCAACATGCAGAGTTTAAATTTTAAAATTATACTTATTAAAAAGAGTTAAATTTTATGATTTTTTTAAAATAAGATTAGTTTTATATCTAATATACAATAAGAGTATCTAAATAAAATTAAATAAAAAAAAATTCATATTCAGAAAGGAAACCGGCTTCCCGCTAACATAAACCAATTCAAATTTGCCACCAATAAATTCTTCTACTGCTGCCCAACATTGGTTTTGATTACTCCTATTGGATGATGGGTGACGAGCACCTTTTTGCATGATTAAATGGTGCAGCCCATCTGGGTTAATTAAAACTTTTTTATCTAGTTGGTTGGCTTTTTCTAATAAACCACCCTTATTCTGCTTGCCTTATGTACTTTCCCTTCATAATCACCTTAAAAAGAAAGTTTAATGATTTCCTTTCCCTCCTTAACCTCTCAATATTTGGCATTTTGACCATTGAATCAAACAGGAAAAAGTGAAAATATATATGTATATATAAAAGAAAATCAAGGGAAAAAGGTCCAAGATGTGATAACAAAGTCAGAAAAACAGGGTAAAGTGTAGCTAGAGAAACATAAAATTTGTCACATCAAAAGAAAAAGGCAAACAAAGTAATGCAGTGAAAGCATAAAGGTTCTTCTAGCATGATACCAACTCCAAACCTTTGTTAATTAATTCTAATAATTGGGCAAAATTAAACAATTTGTGAATCTTATACTCGCACCCTACATATTCCTAAATAAATAAATAAAGAAAAAGAGTATTCTTAGAACATCACTGGAAAATAAAAGATCCAAAAAAAAAAGAGTATTCTTAAAACATCACTAGAAAATAAAAAGTCCACGGTCACCAGCCCAGTCAAAATTATTGTTTATAATTCAAGATGATTAACTTGATTAGAAAGAGTTCTAATTATTTAAGTTAATGGTTTGAAACTCAAATATTTATATATATTTTCAGTAAAAAAAGAAGAAGCTATAGTGTTTAAGTTAGTGAAAAATAAAAGATCCATAGTCACCAGCCTCAGTCAAAGTAATTGTTTGTAATCCAAAATGATTAACTTACGTAAAAAAAAATCTATAGTCGTTTAAGCTAGTGATTTTGGATTCAAATCTTTATATGTAAAAAAAGAATTCTTAATACATGACATGCATCATACGTAAAACTTTAATAGAAGAGTTCAATAATTTTTTTAAAAAAATATAAAACTTCTATTAAAACAATTCAAATAGTACATGGGATAAAATTATTTGTTTTCATTTTTATGTTATTATTTTTTCAAAATAGTACATGGTACCAACTCCAAACCTTTGTTAATTAGTTCTAATAATTGGGCAAAATAAAACAAAATGTGAAATCTTATACTCCCATCCTATATCCCCCCCCCCCCCCGCAACGCCAAAAAAAAAAAAAAAAAAAAAAAATATATATATATATATATATATATATATATATATATATATATATATAATTTAATAACTGTATTCGTTTTATAGGTTAAAAAAAGTCACACTGTCCCTGAGCTTTGCATATTGAAACCTAAAGACAAATGGAGCTAGCGTTTTATAGATCACATGACAATGGAGTCCTAGGTTGTCTAAATCTCAAATAAATTAGTATATCAAAGATTTAAAACCCAAAAATATATCATAAAAAAAGAAGAAGACAACATGGTTTCTATTGAATAGGATAGGATAGAACACAAGGCTCAATGATTTAACCCATATCAAGTCATATGAGGTTAAAAAGGTCTCCCCCTAACCCCACCCCATGGAAAAAGCGTTTGTTCAAAACCTTTTGGGGAAGAGGGAGGGAACCCTGCACATTACCCCAAACCCAAAAGCCTTTACATTCAACAAATAGTAAGAAAAAGAGAGAGATTTGATTTTGTTTTAGTGAGAGAGAATCTCTCTTCTGTATTTCTCTCCGTCTCTCCATTTGTGTATTTTAGGCTTTAGCTGTGTGGGTCTCCCTCCCTCTCTCTCTCTCTCTGTAGCAAACAATAGTTCTCTCGCCCTCCTTCTCTGCCTCTCCCCATATGGCTGTCCTTCATCCACCCCATTGACAGAAACACCAAAACAACAAAGCCCATTTCAAGAATCTCGTCAAAATGAGTTCTTTCTTTTTCTTTCTTCTACTATTTACGTCCTTCTTACCCTGCAAATCCCAGCAAAACCCACAAATCCAAGCCTTAACATCTATCAAGCAGAACATCCATGACCCGCTTGGAGCTTTAACCAGTTGGGATCCAACAACCCCATCAGCTCCATGTGACTGGCGTGGTGTCTTTTGCACAAACAACCGAGTTACTGAACTTCGTCTACCTCGTCTCCAGCTCAGTGGCCAACTCAGTGACCAGTTTGCTTCTTTGACATCTTTACGTAAAATCAGTCTTCGTTCAAACTCCTTCAATGGAACACTGCCTCATTCTCTTGCAAAATGCACGCTCTTACGCGCCGTTTTTTTGCAATACAACTCATTATCCGGCAACCTTCCGCCGGAGATCAGTAACTTGACTAATCTTCAAGTACTAAACGTGGCGCAAAATAGGTTTTCTGGAGAGATTCCTAGATCTCTGCCTGTGAGTTTGAAGTATCTTGATTTATCATCAAATACATTTTCAGGTTCTATCCCTCCAAGTGTTGCTAACTTGACGCAGTTGCAGCTTATTAATCTGTCTTACAATCAGTTTTCCGGTTCTATTCCGGCGAGTTTTGGGCAGCTTCAGAGTCTTGAATATTTGTGGCTTGATTATAATGTTTTGGAGGGGACTTTACCTTCTGCCATTGCCAATTGTTCTTCGCTTGTGCATTTCAGTGCTAATGGTAATAGTCTTGGAGGTTTGATTCCGGCAGCAATAGGCGAGCTTCCGAAATTGCAAGTTGTTTCGCTTTCGGAAAATAAGTTTGTTGGGGCTGTTCCGACTTCAATGTTTTGTAATGTTTCGTTTTATCCGCCGTCGTTGCGGATTGTTCAGTTGGGGTTTAATGGGTTCAGTGGTGTTGTTGGGCCGGAATCAGGGGGTTGTTTTAGTGTTCTGCAAGTTTTGGATCTTCAAGAGAATCAGATACGCGGGGTTTTGCCTTTGTGGTTGACACGTGTGGTTACTTTGACAATGTTGGATGCTTCGAGCAATTTGTTTTCTGGTGTGGTTCCGGCGGAGATTGGGAATCTGTCGAGGTTGGAGGAGTTGAAGATGGGTGGTAACGGTTTTAGTGGGGTGGTTCCGGTGGAGATTAAGCAATGTAGATCGCTTCAGGTTCTCGATCTTCACGGGAATGATTTATCAGGGGAAATCCCTGAGTTCTTAGGTGATCTAACAGGGTTGAAGGTGTTATCTCTTGGTGAAAATCGGTTTTCGGGCTCGGTTCCTGGGAGTTTTCGGAATCTTATAGGGCTAGAGACCTTGAATTTGGGTGGTAATGGTTTGAATGGAAGCTTGCCAGATGAGGTCATGGGGTTGAGTAATTTGACTACGCTGGACCTCAGTGGAAATGGATTTTCAGGTGAAATTCCTGCTAATATTGGGAATTTGAGCAGGCTAATGTTGCTGAATCTGAGTGGAAATGGTTTTTCAGGAAGGATACCGTTTAATTTTGGAAATCTATTGAGGTTAAGTACTCTTGATTTGAGCAGACAGAGTTTGTCTGGCGAGTTGCCGTCTGAGCTTGCTGGCTTGCCAAATCTTCAGGTGATTGCTTTGCAGGAGAATATGTTGTCTGGGGATGTTCATGAAGGGTTCAGTAGTTTGTTGGGTTTGCGTTACTTGAACCTCAGTTCCAATGGCTTCTCCGGTATGATTCCGTCAACTTTTGGGTTTCTCAAGTCATTGGTTGTTCTGTCATTGTCCAAGAATCACATTTCAGGGTTGATTCCACCACAGCTTGGCAACTGTTCTGATCTTGAAACTCTTGAGTTGGACTCAAATTCTTTGACTGGCAATATTCCAGGTGATCTCTCACGCCTTTCGCACTTGAAAATGCTTGATTTAGTTAGGAACAATTTATCTGGTGAAATTCCGAATGAAATCTCCAAATGCTCGTCGTTGGACTCATTATTGTTGGATAGCAATCATCTTTCAGGCAGCATACCGGATTCATTGTCCAATTTATCCAACTTGACATCTTTGGATCTCTCTGCTAACAACTTGAGTGGGGAGATTCCTGCGAGTCTTGCACGAATCTCTGGCTTGGTATACTTAAATGTTTCAAGAAATAACCTTGAAGGTGAGATTCCAGTATTGCTGGGTTCTCGATTTAACAATCCATCAGCATTTGCCGATAATCCGGGGCTATGTGGAAAGCCATTGCCTAAAAACTGTGTAGATGTCGAAGCAAAGGATCGAAGGAAAAGGTTGATTCTGTTGATTGTTATTGTTGTAAGTGGTGCTTGCATGTTGGCATTATGTTGCTGCTTCTATACTTACAGCCTCTTGAGGTGGCGCAAGAGACTAAAACAAGGTGCAGCGGGTGAGAAGAAACGGAGCCCGGCAAGGGCTAGCTCAAATGGAAGTGGTGGTCGTGGCAGCACAGACAATGGAGGGCCGAAACTTGTTATGTTTAATAACAAGATCACGCTTGCAGAAACAATTGAAGCAACTAGGCAATTCGATGAAGAGAATGTGCTTAGCAGAACTCGATATGGCCTTGTTTTCAAAGCTTGTTATAATGATGGAATGGTGCTTTCAATCCGAAGACTCCCTGATGGATCGCTAGATGAAAATATGTTCAGGAAAGAAGCTGAATTTCTGAGCAAAGTGAAGCATCGAAACCTAACAGTTCTTCGTGGCTACTATGCTGGAGCACCAGATATGAGACTTCTAGTCTATGACTACATGCCTAATGGAAACCTTGCCACTCTCCTCCAAGAAGCATCACACCAAGATGGTCATGTCCTAAACTGGCCAATGCGTCACTTGATAGCTCTCGGAATCGCCCGCGGCATAGCATTCCTCCACACATCCAACATTGTTCACGGTGATGTCAAGCCACAAAGCGTCCTCTTTGACGCAGATTTCGAAGGCCATCTCTCCGACTTTGGGCTAGACAGATTAACCATCGCAACCCCAGCAGAACCTTCAACTTCAGCAACAGTTGGCACGTTGGGTTATGTATCACCAGAAGCAGTATTGACAGGAGAAGTTTCAAAAGAATCAGATGTTTACAGCTTTGGCATAGTATTACTTGAGCTCCTAACAGGGAAAAGGCCAGTAATGTTCACACAAGATGAAGACATTGTCAAGTGGGTCAAGAAGCAACTACAAAAGGGTCAAATAACAGAACTTTTAGAGCCTGGTTTGCTTGAACTTGACCCTGAATCATCAGAATGGGAAGAGTTCTTGTTAGGTGTTAAAGTGGGGTTACTTTGCACTGCACCAGACCCTCTTGACAGACCCACAATGCCTGATATTGTTTTCATGCTTGAGGGTTGCCGTGTTGGCCCTGACATCCCATCTTCAGCTGATCCAACCTCACAGCCATCTCCTGCTTAACGACCCACCCGAATCCCAAATAACCCGAAAACCCGGGAAAGTTTGACCATTTTTTTAGTAAATTTTTAGAACCCTTTTCTATTGTTTGTTTTTTCTCTTTTACATTTTGGCCGCTTTTTGCTCTTTCATGCCGGCCTGAGACGGAGAAAGATCGAGGCCCACAAGTTTGATAAATTGCAGTCAACGATTGGGACAAGGCGGGGACCACTATTGGGTGGGGTCCACTTTTTTTTTTTGGGCGCCAAAGGAGGTCACGTGGCAGCAGAGTGGAAAAAGTAGCCGTTAATGTTGCGGGGTCCGAGGTAGAAGCTGGCGGAAAACTGAAAAAGAAGTGTCGTTTTCTATTAAAAAAAAAAAGAATAAAAATGGTGTAGTGACAATATCGTAGTAGCAGTAGTAAAGCATCATCAGGGTTTGGTACAGCTTCAAGGTGATTTGAGGCTCTCTGCCAAAGCCATGAGGGGTTCTTCTGGTGCTTTTTTCTTTGGTTTTTTTTTTTGGGTAGAGAGCAATGATGGATTGGCATGGGGTCAGGGACGCAGAATTTTAGGACCCTACTGAATCACATCAAGCAGGGAATGGGAAAGTTACGGTAGAGCAGAGAAGAGAAGAAAACGATGGCTCAACATCTTCAATTAATTTTGAACTTTTTCAATTTTTTAGTGGGCCATGACTTTTCACTGTTGATGGTATATGTATTTTGAATTGTTGCATGCTGATTTTTGTCATTTAATCTGTATTTTTTCTCAGTACAGACGTAGCAGTAGTGAAAAGTACTAGTACCAAGAACTCTCCATGTTTTGTTGTTTTCCAATGTAGTTTTAAGAAAGGATAAGCTCTCCATCTCCTGGTTCGTCTTTAGCTTTTTCTGCATTTACGCAAGGCGTATCTGCAACCCAACAACCACAAAGATTCTACCCTCGGTAGCAGCTAGCTGTAGCCAAAATAACAGTCAAAGAGATGCTATGGCTAAGAAAAACCCTAGTGTCTGGCTGAGAAATGTCACCAACGTTTACTTTTTCTCATTTTTCAATGGTTGCGCCAGCTTTTTCATGCCCATTTTATCTTTATTTCGACTATTACCTGTAAATCCATGAGAAATGTTTTTGTCATGCTAAAATGAACGTGGCGAGATGATTTCGCAATCAAGTCATTAATCACAATTGACTCATGGCATGTGTGGATGCTCAGGGCAAATGAATCAGTTGGGTTGGATTCACGACAAGTTAATAATAAATAATGGCAACAAGGGAATCTCAAAAGCAATGCAGGAATTGAATAGTTGGGTAGGGCTTTGGGTGCACCATTATTGGTTCAACAGCCTTGAGAAGTGGACAATAAAATGTTAAATCCGATGCAGTGACCGTTAACTATTAGTACTGTTTTCTTATTTGTTTTGATTCGTTTCGTTTGTGTGTGAATGCCTTTCTTGGTTAGTAAACCATACTTAAAAGGACTTAGAGAGTCAGGAAATACTTTGTCTGTTGTTGCTGTCTTTTATACTACTATTTTATACTCGTGAGTTTTTTCATTTATATCTATCACAACATATTTGTTTGTTAATACTATATTTTTCTGAAATATTTTTATTTTTTAATGCAAAATTAAATTGAAAAAAAAATCATAAAAAAAAGTATTTTGAGAAGTATTGTTGAAAAAGACAGATATGATATTAAAATTAATATATTTTTTAAATTATATGAAAAGTCAAAAGAGAATAGAAATAGTGCTTTTTTTTAAACATGTTTTCTTTATCTCTCCAATCTCGATATAAATTATAAATTAGCCTCTCTCTTCTTGATAAACGAATTATTGAATTCTTTTAGTTTCAAAAATTAATTATTTAGTATTTTTATGCAGCATTAATCACAGCTAATTTAATATTTTTTATTTAATAAAATATTTTTTGTCTTAACAATCTATCCATATTTTACTCTTTTTTTTAATTTCTTAACATAAAAAATTAAAATAAATTAAAAAAATAATAAAATACTAAATAATTAGCTTGAAAGATTAATTAAATCCTTTCTAGAAATAGAAGGGAGTAATTTATTATTTATTCCTCGAATCTCTTGTGATGTTTCTTCTTCTAACGTGTTGTTTGAAAAAAAAAAAAAAAAAGCCTTTTCTAACTTCTTGTTAAAGAAAGAAAAAGTTATCTTCTTCAATGTATTAGATTAGTAGATGTTTTTCTTGATAACTAGGAGGCATTATTATTAATATAATGGCTTTTACAAGGTCAGTGTTTTTTTTTAAAAAAAAAAAATACGTAAGTTTTTTTGTTTGATCTAAAAATGAATCTAAATCACAGCATCAGCATACAAACCCCTCTCAAGAATATTCGAACTGTGGCTCACTCAATTGTTAGATACATGTAATAATGATCTAGCTGCTTTTGATACCCAGATTGCAACTTGATTTCCATTCCTAAAGATATAGAATTATGCAAATTTTGTGAAGTTGCAAAATCGTAATGTAATGTTACGAAAAATTCTGCAGAAGGTACTTGACAACCCTACGGCCGACGCTGCTTTCTTCGCAAATGTCTTTGAAAAAACTCCCAAAGGCAAATACACAGACATATTTGGTCACAATCCATGATAAGACTTTCAGTATCTAGTCATGTCACGATCGGAAGTTTCCTTCTGCAAGTGCTTTTGAATTTTTCTAAAGCATGCAGAAATACCATAGCAAAATCAGTTTAATGGCATTTTGCATCCCTCAGCTCCTGCAATTTTAGTACGTCAAGCCTTGTGGGTCAAAAATATGCAATGGTATCCTTAAGCTCTTTTGGTTCGAAGGCAAAATTTGGTATTTTCGTCCAATTATGTCAAGTTTTACTATTTTTTTTATTTTATTTACCACTAGACTATTATCATATCAATTTTTTAATCAAAACTAAATCCATCATTTTTCGGATTAAGCTATTGTTAGAACACGGATGGTTTTTCATCAACTATTAAATCGTTTTTTAAACTTTATCGGTTTAATTAAGTTTTAATTAAATTAGAATATGGTAGTGAGTTATTTAAGCTTCTCAATACAGTGAAGGCACGTGTCCAGTCAAATGCTAATGGAAAAACTTAAAATTGTTGAATGGAAGGACCCAATTGCGTTTTTTTAAACCATGAGAGTTGATGTGCCAAAATTGCAATAGATGAGGGATGAAAAAATCCATTAAGCCGAGCAATACTTAGGGTCCAATCGGTGCTTGTACGAATCTAAGATGCCTAGATTCTCGGCAAGTAGGCCTGGTGCCTATAGGCTTCGAGGCTTGTTAATCTTCTCTCTAAACTCAACTAAATTATTTATACTTCTGCCACTTAGGTGGCCTGCCTCTTTAATTACTTTAACCAACATAAAACTACTACTGTCACTTGTATTCATCAACAAAGGTCAATGGATGCTGTATTTATTCATCCCGTCTGGATATTTATATTTTCCCATCCTCGGTGTTTTTTCGAGTCTAAATTATTATACCTAAACGGTACAAACTTTCTCAAAATCTAACTTATTTGATAATTGGTATTTTAGTTTTTAATCTCAGATGAAAACTTTTTTTCAATTTTTTTTTAAATTAGATTATTATAGGCTTTTATCAATTTTAACATATAAGTACAATTCATTAGCAGTTAAAAACATGTCAACACTTAAAAATATTTTTTTTTTCTAAAAACTTGTTTTTTTTTTTGGGTCAAATACACGTTTTGTCCCTATAATATATTGAAAATATTGCTACAACCTCTTTACTCTAATATATTTCGTAACAAACCTTATGCAATTAGACGTCGGTATAAAATAACCATTTCGTTAACTTTGTCTATCAAATTGAGTAATTTCGGTTAGTTAACTAACGATTGACCAATCATGTGATTACAAGTATTAATTTAAGAGTAAAAATATATATTTTTTAAATCATTTTTTTCCAAATTTTTAAAGTTAAAATAATTAAAAAATGAACAAATTCTAAAGAAATTTTTTAAAATAAACAGATTTTTTTATTTCTAATTAATTTATAATATTTTAAATTATTTTAACTTTAAAAAAATTGAAAAAAAAATATATTTTTTGAATTTTTATGACTATTAATAAAGAATTGAAAAAAACTCTAAAGAAATTTTTAATGATCTTATAATAATTGATAATAAAGAAAATTTTAAAAAACCTATAGAAACTTTTTTACAAAAAAATGAAAAATTAATAATCATTTTTTTATTAAAAAATTATTATTATTATTATTATTATTATTATTATTATTATTATTAGTTTAAAAATCTCAAGAAATTTTTTTTAAAAAAATTAATAATGAAATTTTTATTAAAAAAATTAATAATTGTTAAAAATTTCTCTAGATTTTTTAAAATTTTCTTTATTAATATTATTTTAAATATTAAAAATTGAAAAAAATATTTATTAATAATTATTATAAAATAGTTAAAAATTGAAAAAAAATCTTTAAAATTTTCTTTAATAATAATTATTATAAAATCATTAAAAAGTGAAAAAAAATTATTATTTAAAAATTAGAATTTTTTTCCAATTTTTATAATAAATATTAATTATTTTAATTTAAAAAATACGTTTTTAAATTTAAATTGACATATGTCGTCACTTGATTAGTTAAGCGTTATTCAAGTAATAAAAATTGGTCAATCCGACGAAATAAATTAACCGAGGAGTTGTTTTACGTCAACGTTTAACAATATAAAGTTTGTTACAAACTATATCCGGGTAGAAGGATTGCAACGATATTTTTAATATAGTATAAAAGTATGAAGTGTATTTAACCCCATATTCTTTTCTAAATGCTAAGAAATAAGCAATTAGATAGTATTTTACAATGAAAGAAACAAGTTTTGGAGAAAAAAAAATCATAAGTTTTTGGCATAGTTTTAGTTGTTGTGAAAGTTAAAAAAAAAACTACGTATAAAACACTTACTTCTATGGTTAAAATTGATGAAAACCTAACAAAAAAAATCTAATTTCAATAAAAATAGTTG